AATTCAAAATTTAAAAACCGTAATTAAAACTTTTTAGAGTTTACTTATTATACGGATGCACAAAGTTTGAGGACTAAATTTATGATTTAAATTTAATAAGTTAGATGTGCCTATGCGAACTACACTCATCTTACCTGACTTATTTTGTAAAAATTTATCTTACTTGAAATGAGCTGTTGTCATAGAAAAATAAATAAATTGCAATGAGTTTAAGATTAAATTTGTAATTTAAATATAATTTCATAAGTTGGGTATATCAACGTGAAAAAAGAAAACTTTTCCACCATACACTAGAATTATTTTATAACAACATATATAGATTTTCTTTTAGATGGTAGAAAAGGTTGGAAAATCTGACCAAATAAGGTGATAGTCCCGTGAATTTATTTTCATGGTCTTAATCCTTAGTAAAACGTAAGATCCAAAGTCCACTCACTTTACTTTTACACGAGAAATGGGACCAAAAATGAGTCATTATAGAAAACGAACTAATTGAAAATACTATCATACCGACCATATTCAATAAACTTTAACGTCTATTAACAATAAAGACATGATCACAAACATTTAGCAGATAAAAGAAAATAAATTCAAATGGAAATCTTTTAAAAATCGTGGAGAAGAAGTTGAACACTAATATATAGATTAGAGAGAAAATTATAAATTTAAAATAGAAATTAGGAATGTTAGAAAATAAATTAGGAACTTTCTTATGGAAAGTAGTAAAAATCCGAAATTAGCCCCACCTTCTAATCTGCGAAAATAATAATAAATAAAGAAATAAATAAGAGTTTTTGTGGGGCGGAGAATCTTACTGTTCATGTCCTTAATTAATAATGACGCTTTTGGACGCAACGCAAGTACCGAAACAAAGCAATATCACACGCCGATTTTACCAACTTGATAAAACAATATTAAATATTTTTTAAATTATAAAGAAAGCCCGATATTTTAATTCTAAAGTCTAAACAAATCAATACCCTTCTTATTTTAAAACCAATAAAGAATAGATAATAATCATATAAAAAATTAATAATAATAAGTTTTGAATACTATCGTGGTCAATCCACTTTCCACTCTAATTATGTTCATTTCAGTCATCGTTGAAATTTTCGTTTTAGTTTATGCACTTTTAAACATTTTTATTGTTTCACTTTTATTTTTATTTCGATTTAGATTTATTGGAGGGATTAAAATGAACCAAAATTAAAAGTATAAGAATAAAGTGGATCAAAGTCGAAATTAGAAGAACCAAAATAATATTTAAACGAAATAATAAATTGGTTGAACTACTGTATATTTTCAATTTATGTTTATTTTGATTTCTGTAATTTCAAGATTTTCATTTTGGTCCTTTAATTTTATTTTTTAATCTCATTTTTCTATCATAATTTCAACATGATATTACACTGATATATTTCTTCAAATGTAAACCATGATTTTATAATAAAATGTTTCCATTATGTATAGAATTTATGTTAAAATTTTGAAAATAGAGACTAAAACGTTCATTTTTTTAAAGCAGAGAGACTAAAACCAACATTTTGTAAGTACAATGACTGAAGTGAACCAAAGTTGAAAATACACCAACCAAAATAACATTTTGAAGACAAAAATGAACCAAAACTGAAATTTTTAGGGAAAAAAATAGTATTTTAATCTAATGAATAAGGAAAAGCAGTTTTTTAAATCTTCCTATTAGCATTAATTTTAGCTAACCTTTTAAGTATGTGGTGATCAAATTAATA